TTGGCTCGTACGCAGACTTTACCTATTTTCACCAATCATCGCTAGCCGATCTGAGGAATGTGGAATGGAACATTTCAAAAGGGTTAGAGATTTAAAATTTACGTGTACGAGCTGCAAGGTAAAAAGAGGTAAAGTCTGCATACGAGCCAGGTGGTTTATCCGGCCGGATTTAACCCGGTTTCAGTACCATGAAGCGACTAGGAGTATTTCCAATCCCCCCTCCCCCGGATGGGATGCTAGTCCATCGCAGGGTTACCCGGGCGGACAGGGGCACTGTGAGAGTAAAGTGTCTTGCCGAAGAACATAACACAATGTCCCCCGCTAGGGCTCGAACCCGGACCGCTCGCTCCGGAGTCGAGCGCACTAACTTTGATGAGGCCACGGTACGAGCTGTAAGTGACAGAGAAATTATCTCTTACCACTTAATGTATGGTGTTGAATGTCCTCGGTGCTGGTATATCCATCCACAGATCCTCGGGCACTCAATTCGATCATATCTTCAGGTGTTAGACCATGCTTAGATGGAGAAACAGACGATGCTCCACGTTGTTTCAAGGAGTCTGCAGTTATTGTAATGTTCTGTTCAGTACTCCCAGTGTGTCTGCTGGGAACGCCTTCGTCTCCTTGCATCTCATGACTGGATGGTTCTTTCGTAACAGTGGGGAACGTCGCTTTGGTGCGCGGCACTTTGGGGGGAGGGGGAGGGGACCTCCGTTTGGCAGGCATAGTTGGAGCGAGTGACGGGCTGATTGACTTCGGCAGTCCAGTAATCGAGATCGACGAAGCCTCAACAGACGGCGAAACCAGAACCATTGAATGGGATGAAGATGTCATCTGAGTTGATGCGCCATTTGCCTTCGTCGAGAATGAGCTTGAAGGTGCCTGGTCACGTGATGGAAACCCAAGCGAAGAGGCAGTCACGTTAACATGTTGTTTTTCAATTGTAAATTTCTCATCATGGCGTTTGTCATCTGACCACGGAATCTCCTTCTCTATGATTGTCAGAGAGCTTTTGGCCTTGTCACTTTCTTTACTTTTCTTTAAAATCAAGTGATCTATTTTGATTGAAACGACACAAGTCAGTGTAGCATGCAATTATGAAGGATAAGAAACATTCTGAGATTACACCTTCCAGGTTTGGCTACAACCAATCAATCAATCAATCAATCAATCAATCAATCAATCAAGCAAGCAAGCAAGCAAGCAAGCAAGCAAGCAAGCAAGCAAGCAAGCAGTCGATCAGTCAGTCAGTCATTTAGTCAGTCAATAAGGCAAGGTAACGCGAAGGTTTTATTGCTATCTTTTCCGTTGCTTTATTTCAATCGTACGTCAACACCAACCCAGTCGTTATTCGCCTACCAACTCTGACGAAACATTAACGTTTAAACCGTCAGCTCTCCAACTTCACTGAGCGTAATCAAAGTGATTCATTTTCAGCCGTCTCAAGTTTCTTTAGAAGAGAATCCTTTTTATGAAAGGAGTTGCTGACGATTACCTTCAATCCCAACTTCGTTACACGGTACGCTAACATAACTCATGATTCCCTGTCCATTCTGTGGGCACTCCTCACAAACAGTGTCTCTTGTTCTTCCGCAAGGTTTTACCTCCCAAAAGCCTGGGGCGCACTTGCTGCATTCTTTGCATACCACATTTGAAGTTGAAGTACATGGTTGCGATTCAAATTCGTTGCCACGGCAACTGGAGCATGGCTTACATGCTGGCCGACGCGAGGGGTTCTCAGAGTAGGTTCCTTTTTCGCATCGTACGCAAAGAGATGTTTCATTTTGTTTGCAGGCAGATGAAAATCCAGGAGGACACTTTTTACACGACAAGACGGAGGGGCTGGAATCAATTGCAACCAGCAACTGCAAATGGGCAAAAAAAGAAAGAGATTAGATGAGGCAACGCAAACCTTTAGTACAGGTTCCAGTGTGTCATCATCATTTGAATACAACTATTCAAATATATATTTATATTTAACTATTTTTCTTAGAAAAAGCTACGGAGTGCACAGCAAGAAGTACAGCGTTGGCTGCGAAAGTTCTGCGCGAGCGATTCAATCCGGCACTGGACATGCAACAACCTGCCGTAATTTTTGGCCTGACACCGCTACAGCCCAGTATAGCTCTCTATGCCCTGGTGACGAGTGTGGTGAGCGTTAAAGCGGAACATCAGCTACGTGCCAAGTTCCACAGTTCCAGTTTATTTTCGGAGGCGCATTTGTTCCACCGGAAACCACAAATATGTCGAGCCCAACTTTGAGACAAACTAGGTTTTGCTCTTTTTCATCTGTGTTTTTTTTCTTCTGCGAGGTCTTCTTGCGGGTACGATTAAGTTTCCTTACAACTGTGAAATTAGTTAGACGAGAAGTTATGAAAAGTTCATCAACTCATCTACATTGGCATTCTGGATAGACAACTCGCAGTTTTTCTGCTCCTCAGGAGAAACGGGATGTTTTGTTTGCGCTATTTCTAGACTCGTGATTTCTGATGAAATACTCCGCTCAAATGTCTGTGATTACAAACAAACCCTGCAACCATGAGAATTAGTCAAAACACTTCACAGTTTTTGAAAGCAATATAGTTAATTGTTCATTTACATTGTGTGGAAAATTTGCATAAGTCTGGAAATAAGTTCCCCATGCGTAACAGGCCAACCTTTCGATTTAAAGAAATGACAACGATATAACTTGTCCAAGTAAGCTAATTTTTCATAATTGATTCAGACTTATTTTGATATTGTTTCTTATTAAGCTAGCTTAAATATCACTGATTGTGGCTGATGAATCTAAATGAGAACATATACGTAATGTTCATCAGTTTATATTGACGACAAAAAATCAATAAAACTTATACGGGAAGTTGTTACGGTCCAATTCATCCACAACACTCGGAACAATACTTCAATGTTTTGATATTTTCGCTTTCGATTTCGAGATTTTAAAGGACCATCGAGCTCACAAAAATCATCGCAGGAAAAATTTCCGTTTGTCTTTCAGCTCAAAACCGAAAGCCTGGTAATTCTAAGTTAAGTAACAAGCAAAACCAACTCATGAGAGGAACGAAAACAACAACTATATGCATCACCCATCCATGCCACTCCACATTCCACATACATTTGTTGCAACTTTTTCGACAGATGTTACTTTCTCTTGCCCTGACTTGAAACAAACATTTCGTGTCGATTTCAGAATCGCGCAAAATTCGCGATTGCGCAAAAAATAATAATGATAATAATAATAAAAAAAAAACATAGAGCGCGAACAAAATTCGGTGATAGTGCCTCGTGGAAGCCAATTTCGGCACTTGCCGGAAAATACGATGGCATATCAATAAATATACTTTAACTAATCTTGTAAATTTTATCACATGCGCATAACTTATACAGTCGTTTGGGCTGATAATTCTCGTTTGATAACACGATTCGCGCTACAGTGTAATGCAGACGGTGCTCTTGACGTAGCCGACGCACTGTCGAATTTCAAGAGATTTCACGGGCTACAAACACAATTCTTGAGCAGATAAGTATCGCAAACATTCATGATCAGTATACGGAAATAAACCAACAGAAAACGTATCTGTAAGATAAATACTGCCGGAAAATACTTACACAGACTGAGTGCATTCCCATCAAAGTGAATACCAACAAAAATTCATGATACGCCATGTTGGAATTTTAGTTCAGTGTTGCCTCTTGCGATCACGGACTGGTTGCAGCTCTCAGGTCAAACTTGCACGCAAATGCTTTCGTTGTTCCTAGCTTCCCGCCTCGGACGGGCTCAGGATTTGCAGGAGCAAGCACTTAGCAAAACAGACCACGCTTAAAATAGCCAACAACTTTTAAACTCCTGGGTCTCGAAAGTAATTAGTTAAAGGGGTTTCCCCGTGATGTAAAGGCATGTTTATATTTAGCGCAATGTGAGGTGTTACAGAGGGACTCGGGGGACGGGGTTTGGTGTCGCTTACGCGGAAGTGTTCGATAGTGAGTTTGTTTCTAGGGTTCGGCGGCCGGAGTTTGGAGAGATGTATATAAGAGAAAGTCTTGATTAAAATGAAGCATTCATTGGGCACAAAAGAGGAATGTGTCTGATTTTAGGTAAGCATTTATTAGCATGGTGGGGAGGGACAAGAATGACGTCACGTCAGTTAGGCCGCGTTATGATAAGCAGACAAAAAACGGAAAAAAAATAGTTTGCCTTTCTTTTCTTTCGCCGTTTGCACACGTACAAAGCGTTTACATTTGTGTTTGCTGTGTTAGGAGTGTTTTTATCTACATATATGTATACATTTATTGGATTGATTCAAGTATCATGTAGAGGAAAATAAAACCAAATGACAGGAAGTGTTTTTCCGTTTTGCCCTCGACGTGTTCAAACGTCCTCCTTAAACTCTCGAATGGTTTCAAGTTTCTTTATTCTTCACACAACAAAATACAGATTAATGAAAGAATTGGAAAATGAAGGGGTCTTAATGTGAACGAAAACTCACTAGCTTTTTTAACACTTTGTTTTTACCGAAATTTGAATCTTAATTATGGTAATGAGGTTATATTTTGAGAATTTGTTACTGCAAGTTCAAAATTCGCTTTCTCAAAACGAGTTATTTTTGCCTTTCATGAGAAAAGATATTTTGAGAAGGATTTCTCCAATTGAGCTGAAATTTCAGGATTGTTGTTCTGAGTAAGTTTTGTGTTTTAAGCAGAGAACTTTTCCATCCAGTGCATTTTGTCTTGAAAAGTTAAACATTGAAACATATGCCGGATTTTCTGCTAGTATCAGATTCAACCAAGATTCAACTGGTCACCATTTCATGTGTTTTTAACTTTTCAAAAATCTCTCTGCTCAAGACAGCAAGCTAGTTGTGTTCTTTTAAAACATGTAAAAATCATTCATTTTGATCAATTCTTGTAGGAGTTATCTTTTCTCAATTAAGCCCTGGCATTACCCTGCAGGTGGCAGATTTAATCAGCTGGTGTCAGGTTACAATACAGTTGTAGGGTACAAAAATATTAATTTTTTCATAATCTTTGGTCTTTAAAATTTCTAGAAATGTATGCTTTGCCATGGTTTGGAATTAAATCTTACTTCGAGACGGAAAAGTTTGAAAAAATGGTGTGTTTTTGGGTTAACCCCCGCGGCTAAAAAGAGTTCACCATTCTTCTCACACACGTAATCTAATATTAATAAGATAAAAAAAAAAATAAAACAGTTAACGTCATCTAAAGTCATAGGATTTAGTTTCGTGGGACACAAGTAGTTAGATAAACTAAAACAAAGTAAATACGTAACAGACACCTAAGTAGATAAAATATATAAAGCGGCAGATGCTATTATAGCTTAAATCTTATCAAATGGTGACAGTGAAAAGCGCAAGCGGTAGAATGCACTGAATTTTTCTTGAGTATTGCTGTCGTCTTTCGCATATTAGACTACCTGGCCTAACAGCAGGGTAGCCTGTAGCCCCCCCCGCCGAAGAAGGAAACTATTGTATTTTACCGATTACTTTTCCCTGTGCCCCTTCGAGTAGAGCTTTTTTCATCAGTTTTTCGTGTGGAAGAAAGGTTTTTCTTCCAGGGTATCTCTCTGTCTGTCATCCGGGAAAAGGAGATTCTGGAAGCCTGAGATGGGAAATGAGAAGCTGAGAAAATGACAGATTTGGTCACTGAGATATTCGATCAGAATTTGGACCGAAGCCGGTCGCACTAGCTACAGTGCGCTGCGCGACCGTGCCTTTTTTACTCAAAAGATTGGTTAGTCCCTTTGTTAATTTTTAGCTGTTCTCAAAGAATCATGCTAACGAAGAAACTTTGCCCCTATTAACATACCACAGCGATGAAGTAAGTTGCCGCGAAAAAAGAAAACTTTGACCTCCCTTCGCCCACTCTTGCTTGCCGTGCGTGACAGCTGTGATTTCCATATTAGGTCAGAAAGGCTCGGAAGGAACAGACACAACTAAAGCTGCAGAGCTTTGTGCCGCTCTGTTGTGCAATTCGGTGAGAGGTGTTTCACGTCTTTACTGACCGTGATTTTGCAGATTTGCAGCAAAGATGGGCTTCATTCGCCTGGTTACAGTCATCTTAAGTGTTCTTCTCGCTGGTAAGGGTTTGTTTATGTTGTTATCTTGTGATATTGTCTTTTTATCATTTGAATTTTAATACGTGAAATGCTTGAGGGCAACTTTCGCTTGCACTTTATGCTTCCCTTCACAGACTGGTATTCTTGGGTGACGATTTCAGCAAAATGAATTTCATCATTTTCATTGTCCTTACTTTTGCCTGTAGTGCTACAGCTGTAAGCTTATATAAAACTGATCAGCTACGATATAAACGTAAATCTTTCTGTTTTGCAAATGGAGCCAAGTCGTGTTTTAAACACGACTTTAATAGGCCCAGTTCAGGCGCCGAACTTGATTCGAATTTGGACCGACCCAAATTATCAAAAGTACACCTGTTGATTCAGACGTCGAACTTAATTCACCGAACTTAATTTAGTTTGAACCAAAACACAACGAAACATCAGCGGTTTTCAGGCAGGGTGTATGCATTAGGTTCAGCACGTAAAAAGTTCATCATATCATCGTTGTCATCATCAGTATGTGCTGTGTCCTTGCTGACACTTGCCAGTGTAGACAATCATTGTCGACACTGGCAATTAAGGAACACACCACCCATAGCAAGGTCCCGTCTATATACATGTACATGTACTGTATTCTACATGTATCATTATTGTTATCATTATCATTATCGTCATCGTCATCATCATCATCGTCGTCGTCATGGTCGTCGTCATCATCATCATCATTGCCGTTGTTGTCATCATCATCATCATTGTCATCAGTATGTGCTGTGTCCTTGCTGACACTTGCCAGTGTAGACAATAATTGTCTACCCAGGCAATTAAGAAACATACAGTGTACGACCCAGAGCAGGGTCCCATCCATATACATTTACATGTACTGTATTCTACATGTCTAATACTGGAATTAATTGATTATTGTTTGTATTTGCAGTAGTTTTAAGTCCATCAGCAGTTGGAGGTGAGCTCGTGTGTGAACTTGTTAAGTTCATAAATAGTACACTATGTTACTACTGGTTTACTAGTAAGGGTAGCCATTAGATCAAGTGGGGATTAGAGGGGGAGGAGAAAGACTCCAGGGCCTATCTACACAAGGCGAATTTTCGCATACTTTGCAAAAATATCTGTCGTCGCCATACTGTTTCAAGTGCGGATGATGATTTTTAGTGCTACCAAATATTGTCATGATCAAGCCTTGCCAAACTTCAAAAGTGTCAATGACCTGGCTCTGAGCAAGCCAATCTTTTGTCAAGCCACACATTATGCACACATCTGGTGTATGTAGATCCGTTAATAAAAATTAAGGAAAGTGTTAGTTTAGACTTAATTGTTTTGCTACAAATACAAAAGGTGTTGAATTCCTGTATATGATGTGGTTAGCAATTTCAAATTTGTTTTTTTGAATCATGTATGCTTTTACCAAAACAAAATTAATTTGATGGGGACGAGATCTGAGGTATTATATAGGGTGTTCTTTTAATGGGCTACATTAAAACTAACAATAATGGTAATCTTTTATGTTATGGAGATAATTATAACCTGTTAACTATTAAATGGGCCTTTTCTGATACTTTTGTTTTGGCACCAGCTGAAACATGTTAAATTAGTTCTTCCAGTGAAAGCCTGATTAGAGCACAGAATTATGTAAAGTAGTTAGTGCTGAAAACCATTTTAATGACTTTTATCTGTCACCTTAATTAGCATACTAGAGGGTGAAATGTTAAATTATCCCTGGGTAGTCTACATGTATTCCCATGAACATTCAAATCTGCTTTGATCCTTAGATGACACAAACTGCTGTAGCCAGTTGAACATCCCTTCAGAATGCCATTTTCTTTGTGGTGTTGGGAGTCAGCCATTTTGGACAATAACAAGGTGGAAGTGTACACATCAGTACTATGCTAAAGTGGCAACATGTAAAGTCAAGAACAAGATCAGTAAGTACAGACAAATTTTGATACCTTTCTCAGCTTCTGGTTTAAATGCATGTACATGTTCATGTTCATGTTCATATACTCCTAATTCATTTTTGTAACACCGCAGTGGCCTCATGGTTAGTGCACTTGACTCAGGACCAAACAGTTGGGGTTTGAGCCATGGTCAGGGACATTGTGTTGTGTTCTTGGGCAAGACACTATACTCTCACAGTGCCTCTTTCCACCCGGCCAGGTGTAGAAATGGATACCAACAAATTTAATGCTGGAGGTAACCCTGCAATGGACTAGCATCCCATCCAGGGGAGAGTAGAAATACTCCTAGTTGCTTTATGCTGCAGAAACCAGGATAAGCTCCAGCCTGATGGGCCACTTGGCTTGTATGCAGGCTAAATGTTTCTTCCGATTTACATTTTTTTGTTATGTCCAAGACACTTTTTTAATTAGAGGTGTCCAAATGTACTGCACTCCTGGGTGGAAAGATTTTAGATGCCAAGTGATAGTCTTGTCCAAGAACACTGACAGTCATCACAATGCGCCACCTGGATCAATACTAAGACCAAACACACATTATTTAAACTCTCTCGACTAATAAAATGCTGTGTACCAGGCTTTTTTTAAGCTGTCAAATATCTGTTACACCTGTATGTGTACACATGTACATCTAATCTCAACTTATTTTATTTATCTTGTTAATCAGATTATGTGAAGCTGTTTGGCCAAGAGCTTACTCAGTCGTAAGTATATAATAATAAATTATGCAAAAATGTTGAAAAAAGAACACTTCAAAATGATGATGTTCCTCATCCCTCTTAGTCTAGATTAAACTTCAGGTTTAGTACAGTCTTTACATTTTGTTTCACAATTTATGCAAGTAAAGTGTATCCATACAGAGAGGACTGAGGAAAAAAAAAAAAATTACATTCTATTTGTGTTTTCTTTAACCAGGATAAAGGACAGCTTTGAAAAGCTCTCTGCGGAGCTCCAGAAAAAATTATCAGATGCAAAAGAGTTTGCAAAAGCCACAATTGAGGAGCTCAAGCAAGTTCCACAGGACTTGCTCTCATCATTGAAGGTATATGTAAACTAATAACTAAAGTTAATTATCTCGTATTATGTTTTAGATGAAACTTGGAATAACATTATAGCAGTGTTATGTGCGACATTGGTGATGCACTGTTCAGGCCAGTATTTGCTCTGACTGTCAATCTTGTTGTATTAGTGCCCGTGCAGAGGCTTGGAGATTCAGTTGGCTGTAGCCTGCATCAGATCCCATTAGATGTAGCCTGCATCTCAGCTGCTTGCTCTGAAAGAAAGACACATCTCTCTGATTTTTCTTTTGCGGAGGGGCAGCTGACACAGGCTAGTTAGGTGATGTGTAGTGACATGACATGACATGACATGACATGTAGTCTGAACGATGTAGCATGTTCATCATTTTGAGGAACCCACAGAAAACCGCCATGGTGAGTGGGGTTCCCTCGTTAAATATTTTCATAATTATTATTATTTTATTATTATTATTAATTATTGTATTGTTATTGTTATTATTATTAAGATCCAAATCATTAGATAAATTAAACTTAATAATTAAAATTATTCTTGTATTTTTTTTTTTTTTGCAGGAGAGTTTAAGTGGCATGACAAATGGTCAGTTCAGTGGAATTATTGATCGACTCACCACATTCACGTCACAGAATTTAAAGAAGCTTATCTCACACATGAACCTAGATGCATTTTTTGCTAATGTGGATAAAGTTGCTGTAAGTTAATTCACTTGATTGCTAAGTGGACATTTTGCAAACGTATTCTATTTAAATTTGAAATTTCTCCAAGGCGACTTAATTAAAACTTGTTTTCCCAAGAGTTGAGAAAACAAGATATCATAGTAAAATAGCTTGGTCTTTGCTGTTTCGATCATATGTTTAATATACATGTGAGTGTCAGACTGAAACATTTAAACCCAATACAGCTTAGCAAAAGGTAGAAAATGTGACATTTTAATTTGCCCTTCACATTCGTTAGTCATTTTGCAGGTGGAATTTTACATGAACCCACCCATCAAAGCATCAAGCATTCCTTACATGCGTCTTTGAATTTTGTATTTATTTAATAACTATTTCTTTCAGAGCAAGGTGTGGGATCGTGAGCAAATGGCTGCCCTGAACCAAGCTGCATATCGGAAATATGGTAGCAGCATTAGTCAGTGGCCTGTCAAGGCCCTAGAAACTTTAAAGCAGTTACTGGCTGGCTTTGAACCTAGTGAACTAGCCAAGCTGGTTGGGGATGTCTTTGATCAGGGGTAATTTTAGTTTTAAACCTTAGACCCTGTGTNGTCGGAAAGTTTGAAAAGAACTCCTAAGAGGTACCAAGATCCTTTTCTGTGGGCGTGGCTTGAAATTTTTTTCACCCCTAAGAAGCACCAATTCTAAAACAACACACTATCTCCTGTCATATTTTTTTTGGCTCAACACCCTAAAAGGTACTGCAAAAGCTCTCGCTGTGGACCTTTTGAGGTTGAACACCCTAAGAAGTACCAAAACTGTTTTTTTAAACCCCTGAAAGGTACGTACGACAAGCAACCCTTTTTTTTTGTATGAGGGAGTCCTCCACCCCTGCTCTTCCCCCTCTCCAAGTTTTAGACTATCTTACAAGGATGGTTTCAGTGATTGCCTGAGCTGTATTTCCATTGTTTTTTTTTTCCGATGTGTGAATTGAAATTAAAAAAAATATGTTATAAGCTTGAGATCAAGCTTTGATCTCAAGCAACAGGTACAGTGCTGTGTACAATTCTCTTTCTACATACTTTTTAAATGTTAAATCACAGCATAGTCAGTAGGGGGGACCCCTCTACTAACTGTGATCACAGTGTAGGCTGCATTAACGTATTTATCAGGCCTCAGGAATCTGATAATTTTATATTTTGTACAACTAGTACAGCATGATCAAGCCACTTTAATGTAGCTGGAAGTACTATGTTCCAGTGTCCCCCAAAGTTGTAACATGTGTTAATTGCCTCTTGAAGAGAAATGACTATTGTTTCTAGAAATGTACGTGATGCACTGAGCCAGAATTTTTTTTGGCAGTCCATGTGCAAATTATTATATAAATGCAATTATTATTGCACTGTACAATTATTTTGAAGTTATTAGTTATATACAGTTGTTCATGTGCTGCACAGTAATGCTGACCTTGGAAATCAATGTCAGTGACCCAAGTTTAGTAATTGCAGAGTGAGCTGTACTGCTGTTGCTGTGCTCCTGATAAAAATACTGTATGTGGTTAATAATAACAATTTCTCTTATTCTTATGTGTTTCTTTTATTCTGTCAGTGTTGATCACATTTGCTTGGCAAAATTTGATCGAGATCAGAAGACTGCCCTTATGATCCCTGCTAAAAAGGCTTTTGGAGATGTTGATGACTGGGATGAAAAAGTGCTCGGACGATTGTGTAATCTGCTGGAGGCACTGCCTGTTAGGGATATATTGAAGCTAGCATCCGATGTGGTAATAAGCTGAGTTATTCATTTATGATACACGCCTCAACCTCTGTGAATACAAACACACTTGCTAATAATTAAAAGATTTCTTTGTCCAGCTTCTCCTATAGTTATATACAAATGCAAAATTTATTTAGATGAAATAGATAAATATTTGCATTAGCAGTGTTTGTAAAGGTGCCCCTGAAAAATTAGACTAGTTTTGAAAGGCATTGAATAACAATGTTATCATCAATGGTCCTCGGAACACAGTAGTGTTCGAAGTTAGGGGATGTAGAATATAAAACAAGTCATTTATTACAACAGTTTTGTATATGGTGCAACTCGGCAATAATTTTCAGGGTGTACCCCATCCGTACATGTAAGTACACTGTACTGAAAAAAAAAGAAACTATAAAACTAAATTTAACAATACTTTTTTGACAAGTTTTCTTTTTTCTTTGCTATACATGTAGGTGACCAAGGCCATTGACTCACTGGTAAAAAATGACTTCACTATCCCTCAAGCTAAAGCCATTATTGCCAAGCTGAAGGAACAGTGGAAAGAGGTAAAGACATGGAGTGCTCCACAGTTACAAAAAGTTGGAAAACTGTTGAAAGACTTCAGTGTGGAAGATCTGAAGTACTTGTCAAAGGAACAGTTTCAGGTAAGTTGGGCAGTAATATCTGTGGATATAATATGTATAATAATAATAATAATAATAATAATAATAATAATATGGATATTATACATGTAATACTGACAACATCACCCAACGTGGAGAGACCAGTCTCCGAACCCTAGTGTATGGGTCCAATATGGGCGATTTCCATCCCGGGTCCTACCACTAATTTTGTAGACTACAAGTAGTTCCTCTCTCACTTAGTCTGTCCTGGGTGATGTGTTTCGCTCAACAGACTAAGCAAAAGAGGAACTACTCGCAGTCTGCTAAATTATATTGTTTTGGGTCAATCCAGCCATACTGCCCCATTCAGAATGTTTATCGAGTCAGATCCTGGTTAGAGTTGCAGTTTTTTGCATAACATCCATAATGTGTGATATTCTGTTTTGCGTCCCGCACACAATCAATTTTAAGCCTTTTAAAAATTATTATCCTGCATCCTGTTGGTCAAAATGAGCAAATCCTGCGTCCACCAAAGTATTTTTATCCTGCATCCCTCCATTAAAATTTATGTCATCCCACATCGAGCATCCTGCCTCCCTTTTACACTGTCATCCTGCATCTTGCCAAATTCTAAAGTGTGTGACCATTCAGTTAAGAAGTATTGAGCAGTACAGCGTACATGTGTAAAGGTGGATATGTCGCTGATTTTAACCCTGGTTTGCATACAATCCTGGGTTTTTTGAAAGGTGGATATCCACCAGATAAATCACTGTCCAGCAGATAGCGTGGTTTGTTTTGTTAACACTAGTTTTATCCACTGGATAGAAAATTTATCTGGTGAATAGAGTTGTCCACCCTTTGAACAACTGGAGTCTGATGTACATGTACATATTTGTTAAGTGATGCCATGTTGTGCCTAGTTTTAATGACACTGTTTACATGTAACATACTTACGAAGTCTTGTTTTTGTAGGCCATTGCGGACGTTGTCAGTAAGCTAAAGCTGGATGCAGGACAGCTGAGAGTGTTAGCAGCAAAAGCAAAGGAACTGCTTGGTTCCCCAGACAAGTGGAACAAGGACAACATCAAGGAACTTGGAAATATAGTTGCAGGGCTTCTACCATCTGAACTCAAACAGATTGGAGAACAAGTTATTAAGGATTCTTTACAAGCTTTGAAAGAGGTTGACTTTAGTTTGGATCAGGTATGGTTCAGTTCGCTAGTTTTATTACAAGGACATGTAAATCCAAATTAATATTACTCTTAAATTGAAGAGGAGACGTTTCTGACTAAATAATTTCTCAAAATTCCAAGTGTTCTTATAAGTCTATTCTTGTTTGATTTTGCTTTTTCGTCATTCAGGCTCAAGAGATTGTGGAAAAGCTGAAAAGTTCCATTGATGTAAGTTAAAATGCGTTAATGTAGAATTGTGTCATGTTTGTCTTGCTCCGTGATGTCCCGTTATTCCGTTGTGTCATGTTTGTCGTTTGTAATCCTTGTTAATCTTCTCCATCCGTAACCATCCTTGTTCCTTTGTGGTTTATTATTATCTCTTTGGTGTTTTTCTATCTTAGTAAACTAATATTTTCAGGTTTCCTCCAAGTTAAATTTTGTACATTGCCAAAATAACTCAAAATAAATTAACTGAGCTCCCTTAAGCATTAAATTTTCATATAATTCAGAGATAAAGAATTAATCTTTGTATATTTTCACAGCTGTCCCAGCTGAAGAAGGAGGATGTTATTGCTCTTGCCAAATCTATTGACGGCTTCTTGTCATCAGATGTCGGCAAGATGGCTCAAGCGGCGGTCTTTGCTGCTTTCCCTGAAATGAAGATTGCTAAAGATGTTGCCATCCCAGTTTTAAGACAATTTATTAAAAAGGTAGCACTGTTGTAAGATACATGTATGTGGTGCACTTAATATATTTATCCCTGTTGAATTGTGGATACATGTGCCCTGTGCCGTGTGCATGGTGAACTGTAATAGTTAACTTCACGTGACCATTGAGCACTGCCATTCAGCTCTTCAACACAACTGCTTAGAAACAACAATCTCATTCTTATTCTCAAGTTTGAACAAAGAAAATCATGACCGCGATGGTGTTTGGATATCTGATCTTAATTAGTATAGATTTTTCCGTTTTGATTTCTCCCTTTTTTTCTTAGTTTTGATTTCAATTGAGGAGATATATCAAACACTCAAGACAGTGTTCAACTCACATTTCCAAACACCTCGAAGGTCGTCAAAAATACTCCGCTGCGCGTTGTAGTTTCAGCTCTATTCTCGGTGTTTGGAAATGTGGTAAAACAAGGTATTTCGTGTTTGATGTACTGTATTACTTCACGCACATACTGTAGAACCCTGCTAGCTTTTGTATGCAGTGTATTGAAGCTCTTTTCTTTAAGACTACTAGAGAATCTGCCTTCCAGTTTTAACTAACTGAGAAAACCACGCACCCGTTCTCTCATCAGTCACTTTGGGATGATGGTATTAATCAGGTTTGATTCGTTTCACTGCAGTATGAGGAAAACCCGTCCGCTGGTAAAAACATTGCACAGCTGGGTGAGTTTGCTGTTGCTCTGAGCCGCGGAGAGGTGAATGCTGAAAACGTCGATGATGTGATTGCTAACCTGGATCAATTGGGGCTTATACCTTGGGACAAAACTCAGGTCTGTATTCTAAACCTTTGCGTTTTGAGGTACATTATTTGGATTTGCTGGGTAATCCCAGGCTCCCAGAGCTCCCAGTCATAAATGATTGGATGTTTTTATGATTTATTTTCCTCTCCTGGCTTCGGTTGTTCTAAGCATGGATAACGCCATCCACCGAATCACTACCCAGCGTAGTTTGCTTTTAGCCAATGCCCTTCACTGCAGAGTGTTTGACATGTATCTGGTGAAGAACATTTTCCACCCTGTGAACAAGTGGGTTTAAAAGCCTAACCTGAACAGTCATTCTGTTCCCTCTACTACTGCCTCTCTAAATGTAAAATTACTTGACCCAACTCTGTGCTAACTCTTCGGTTCGGTTCTGAGTAACCCACATCCTGTTAACGTTTAGCCTAAATATCCCGTATTACGTTAATTTTAATATTGATTGCAAAATTTACGATTTTCCTACTCGATATCTCGTTTTGTCCGATCTAAATATCCCATAACCCATTTCGCCTAAAATATCGTGTATTTCGTTAATTTTTATCCCTTAATAGGGCCTCACTACTCTGTGAAAGTGAAGCTATTTACAGTTTTTTCTTTGTCTTTTCTGCCCTGTCAGGTCCTAACTCTTGCCAAGAAGATTAGCACAAAGTGGGGCGACTTCAACACTACTGATGCCGATGATTCTGACTCACCAAACTGGGGATTTTTGAACATGAAGAAGCTTGGACGCATTGTTCTTGGTATTGCTAAGGAACAACTGCGTGATTTACCCATCCGGGGAATTGAAGACGTCATCGACGTGTTAGGACGGGAGAAAGACTGGGACCGAGGACAAGTAAGAGGCGGCCATTTTTGAGGTCTCAGTCTCCCACTTTCCACTTACCTTGCGTTCACAAATTGTTTACGCCTGTTTTCTATTTTAATTTTCAAGATTGTAATGGTATTAACTCGGCTGCGTGAATACTGGGAAATGGAGAACCTTGATTTCTCGAACTTCACTGAAGTTGACATCGATTCACTTGGTACTTTTCTGCGAGGGCTTGCACAGGACGAGCTGAAGAAACTACCCGAAAAAATCCTACTCACTGCCATCCGCCGACTGGGAGAGGAAACCGGGTTACCAGAGGATAAGCTTAAGGCAAGGGCTTACTTGGCCGTGGAGCTCTTTAAGGTAAACTTCAAAATGACTTTTGTGAATCTTGAATAGTTCTACGGGAAAGCACACTAAAATAACCAATAAGTCAATACACGATATGAGTAAACTGTTGAAAGTGTGCTGTTTTGAACACAGTTTCCTAGTCTCAACTCTAGTCCTCCTGTTACCGAGCTGAATACTTAGTTGATACAGTTTGTGGAGGCGCGGTGGGGTCGTGTTTAGTGCACTCGTCTTCCGGATCAAGCGCTCCGGGTTCGAGCCTTGGCCGGGGACATTGTGTTGTTTTCGTGGGCAAGACACTTGACTCTCTCACAGTGTCTCTCTCCACCCAGGTGTATAAATGAGTATCAGCCAATTTAATGCTGGGAGTAACCCTGTGATGGACTAGCATCCCATCCAGGGGGGAGTAAAAATACTCCTAGTCTGTTTCTTCATGCTACTGAAGCCGGAGATAAGCGCCGACCTGTTAGGCCAGTTGGCTCGTATGCTCGTAACCCTTAACTTACCTTTTACCTTACAGTTTGTACAAACCAATGAGAACGAAGAAATATTTGGTAACTTGTATATAGAAAATTAAGGGTGGCTGTTTACGGATACAGTCTGAGTGTATAACACACTTTTTAAGAGTGGACTTCGTTAAGTCCTTTGTTCAATTATTGACTGAGCATGTTGTTATTCCCATATCAGAATCAGACAGGGGTTGATATACTGAATTCTTCACATATTGAAGACCTTGGATCGTTAGTGGCCGGTCTCGATAGGAAAACCTTACGAAAGATAGCGAAAGATGCGTTTATTGACAACCTCTACAACATCGCTCGAGCGAAGGGATACGACTTGAAGAAACTGGAGGAGATAGCAAAGTTGGCAAAACAACACTTTGACAAGAGGTTAGTTTGTAAAATAATCTGTTGTACTCTAAGAATACAACAGGGTCCTCTATCTTGGTCGAATTGGAATTTGGAGATGTTGTTTTTGTGGAGGGAGGAAAACCGGAGAACCCGCAGAAAAACCCTCGGAGCAAGGCGAGAACCAACAACAAACTCGAGCCACATATGACGTCAGGCCGGAATCGAACCCAGGCCACATTGATGGGAGGCGAGCGCTCTCACAACTGCGCCATCCATGCTGAAGGACAGTAATTTATTAACAAGTTATTTTTTTTTGCAGAGCAGGAGTAATCTTAAAATAAGACCTTACTTAGGTAGAAGAACACCAGAGAGAGTAGTAAATCAGGGGAAAAAAATGGTGAAGATTCGGGAAGGTCGAGAAGGAATGCGAACGATAAACTTGAAAAAAATTAGGCATTTTGATTTTGTTTCCTGTCAGTGATGTTGCTGAGTGGATTGGTGACGAGTGGCGCGATCTCGGGCCGGCTGCATTAGGCCTGGATCCAAGCGACCTTGAACGTATTAATCTGGACTCCCTGGAAGAAATGCTTGACGAATTCGGCACATTCAACTTTAGCAAGTCCCAAGCCAACTCTCTTGTAGAGGCGGCGAAGAAGGCTTGGGACGAGAGTGGTAAGTTTGATCTTTGTTGTGTTCTTTGATTTTTTAACCGTGTCAAGGATGTGGTAAATTGGTACATTACTTGCAAAAAAATTCCGGAGATTTAATTTTGGGACAGTTTTTATCGCATTTCGGACAAATCTCAGGTAAGAATTTCGGACACTGTGCTGAAACATAACTGAAGTAAATTTACGCCAACAAAACGCGAAATATACAACATCTGTGGAAACGCTAGTTTTACCGTACCCTCAAGGTCTTACTTATACACTGGCGAGAAAATAACACAAATTCTTAAGCATTTCAACTAGTGTCTCAACAAGAGTTCGTTTCATAAAAGAAACTAACAGCTTTGTAGCTACTTAAAAGTCTTACTGTACTGTAAATGTTTCGGACGTTTAGAAATTTCGGACGGTTTTATTTTTGGACGCTTGTTTCGTCCGAAATTAAAATTGTCCGAACTTGTTTTGTAAGTAACGCATCTCAAGTTCCTACAGGCTAAGAGGGATAGGCGGTACTGGGGAGGAGAAAGGAATCAACCGAGGCAACTCTGTGGTATTGTCCACGGCAAGACAGATTTCTGTTTTTGTTTGCCTCGTAGATGCAGGGAAGTGGACTGGGGAGAAGTTGCGTCAGCTTGGCTCACTGGTGAAGGGACTGGATACAACTGACATCAAGAAGCTTGGGAAAGAAGCTTTTGAAGAGGCCGTTGGGGTCTGGGGAAAATATCTAGACGTTGACATGGAAACGCTGGAAGCCTTAGCGGAAAAGGCGAAGGAAGTAAGGCCCAACCGAAATTGAGTAATGTGTTTTTGGTAATCCGCGTCCATCTTGTTAATATTGGCCATCCGTTGTTTTGGCTTTGTGTTTTTCTGCATTATTTAAAAGTTTTGCATGATTGTAAGTTCAGTTTTATACGCTTTTCACATAAAAATTATATCCAGGTTTAATTTATAGAGCGTCTTACGTTTGTTGTTCAAAATCTCGTAGTATCTGACTAATGGAGACATCTCTAAGCTCACGGCACAACTGGCCAAGAGGATTGGACGCGTGGTACTGGGGCTGACACCCGACGACTTGGACAAACTGAAACTTGACAACATTGATATGATTGCCGCCCTTGGAAAATGGAAGGAATGGAGTAACGATCAGGTCCGTAACGTCTGTGGTTTATTTTAACTTAATATCTCGCTTGCACATGGCATGTTTGGCGCATTTGAACGTGGTAGTTTAAGCAACTGTTGGCATCAAAGTTGAGAATTGTTGCGTGTATATTTGGCTTTTTAGCCATAGGATCTTGTCCTCGCCTTCGGCTCGGTCTCCCGTGATAGACACGTCCGTCATGAGGCCTAAAAAATTTCAAACGATGACGTAACTCCCCAGAGATCCGTTCGTGTCTGTGATTGGTTATTAACCGCGTGCGTAATATCGTAATAGCCAATCAAAGATACTTCTGGGAACCCGGGATTCCGTGGGGGTAGGGTTATGGTCTGGAGTGTCTGCAGTATGGACGCGCGTTTTCTACATCTTAAATATAGCAAGTAATTATTGTTTATTTTGTTCTTCGTAGTTGGATCGTCTCAAACCAAAAGTCCGGGAATTCTTGAAGCAGAATAAGGACGATGATGCTTTCATGAGCCTGGGACAATTAGCTCTGAGCTTAACTAAGGACGATATCGCCAAGATGTCCCAGAAAGCCTTCAGGTTTTTAGTTACAATATTTAGAATATAGTAGTTAGTGGTTCGTTCTGTTGTTTATGAGAGCCAAGCCTCTAGTCTTGTTTAGTATGCAAGAAGTTAAATGTGTTACAAGAAGTGAAACCAAGTGTTTGTACAAATCTGCAACCAATTTAGAAAATAAAGAAATAAATACTCCATTTACGATTTACTTCCTTAAATCCGCGATAAATGTACTTGTATGAACTAGGTTGTTAATATGGCATACACTTCACATTAAACAAACCCAGAAATCCGCCGATCAATCTACTGAATGTTTGTCTCTATTGTAATCTATTTTCACGATCCTAGTCAAAGTATATTTTATATGCGTTTCGTTTCTATGTTGCGCGAGATAAGAAACTAACATAGTTGTTTTCCCTCATGTTTCCACAGACTCGCAGTTAAACAACTGAGCGAGATCGAGGGCTGGTCCGATGAACAGCTGAAGGCAATCATTGCCAAAGCTAAAACAGTGTGGGCTCAGGCGGCCAATCAGTGGGATAAGGACCAAGTTAGTGAACTTGGAAAAACACTCAGTAAGTTGTATTGTTATTTTGCTCTCCCTTGTTTTCGTGAATTCTTTCTTGGAGGTTTTTGCAAAGAGACACTTAACACTGCAATCAAGGGTTCCGCTTTTCTAAAGCGAGAAGAAATAAATTGTGTGAATGGCAGGAAATCTTGCATATTGTCATTAAGCGCGGAAAAAAATGCAACTGGAGAACAGCGCGGGAACTCATGCAATTGGTGTTGAGCGCGGGAAACAAAGGGCGAAGAAACATGGAAACGGTGTAAAGCGCGGGAAACTTCTTGCTAGGCTTGGCAAACGCATAAAGAGAGGTAACACAAGATCACCGTTGAATGTCACATCAGATCAGTTTGCTAACGGCCTTGTTTTTTTTTGTTTTGTACTCTACAGAGGCGCTATCCACAGCTGACATTCCTAAACTGAAGACTCAAGTGATTGATGTTATTCCACCAGAAGTGATCGAGGACATGAGTGTCTCCCAGCTTCAGGTTGAAAACGTTTATTATGCAGATACAGGTGTAAACGTGATACATAGGGCTAGTGTTAGGTTGTGTATGAACAGCGTTGCCACTGGTCAGGAAATGGTCAGAGAAAAACAAATTCCTCAAGATCAGGGAAAAGTGAGGGAATTTTATCTTGAGTCAGGGAAAATTGACATTTTGAAGAAAAGCCAGGGAAAATTGAAATAATTTAACGCGGATGATTTAATACCGTCGCTTGCATCTAAGCGTGAACGCGTGATGCCGAAACATGCTCTAACTGGGTGTAAAACATGGCATGATTAGTCATCAAACGTGTGACGTTTAGTAGACCGTAACGCGACCTCTCGCGTTCAAAATGTTCACCATCAACAAATA